AGGGGAGGGATGGGGGCAAAGCAAGCAGGAGGACAGGTGAGACAGCAGGACAGGTGAGGCGGGCCCTGGGGGGGGCGGGTGGGAGCCAGGTGAATGTACGGTTCTCGGAGGCCGAGGGGGGGGCGGGCGGCAGGAGGAGGCAGAGGGCTGCGGAGGAGGAGCCCCCCAGCAGAGAGCGGCGAGCGACTGACCGCGGCCTTCTGACCAGGACCGGAGCAGGGCCCCAAGCCCCCGGGCCTGGCCGGGGACGCGCTTCTTCCCACACCCTGTGCCTCATCAGCTCCAGCCAGTGGACCCAAAGGCTGAGAGGTGAGTGTACCCCACTTTGTCTCCTGGCTCAGGGTCCTCTAGACTCGAGACTACTGCAGTGTCCTTCGTCTGTCCTGTAAGTGGGACCCCCCCACATACACACACGCATGCAGACCAGATTCCCACCACTCCCCTTCCCCGTGCCTTCTCAACATCCCGGGTCTTTGGAATTGATTTTAACTGGAAGGAAAGGTAGAGAAGGAACTACGGCCGCCCCCCATCCCGGGGCGGAGGGTCCCCAGAAACTTTCTGTGCACTTCTGGGAACAGACAGACTGGCAGCTCCGGGATGGAGAGAGGGTGAGGCGGCACTGAGCGCTCCTCCAGTCTCCTTCATTACTCTAGCGGGAGACCCCCGACCCGACCGAGTTGAGGGAATGGAAACGCTGACAGACTCTAACTAGGACAACGCTCCCCCCCCCGTGCCCCCTGGCGCGGTGGGTTGGACCCGGGCCAGTTGCATGGGGGGTGGGGGGAGCACAGGAGGAGCCGCGGCTTGGGGGAAAGTTACCGGCTGGACTATTTGGTTTCTTGCGCTTACCGAGCCGCTCTCTCTCGCCGGTAGTGGGGCTCGGCGACAACCTCCGAGCGACATGAAACGACCCCTCTCTCCGCCGCCCCTCAATCCCACTTTCTTCGTTCAGGCTCCAGTACCGCCGCCACCTTTTCAAAGCCAGCTCCTGCCCCCAGTACCCAAGAGAACGGGTGGGCGACTAGGAAGAATTCTACCTACCACCCGTTCCCCCGCCCGCGCCGGCGCACCTGCCCCTACGCAGAGTGGGGGTCGCTACTGTGTTGTTGTAGAA